ACTCCCAAAGGAGTCTCGACTCACAGGTTGAGAACCGCTGCCTTAAAGGTGAATAGATTCGACAGGCATAGCTCCTCCCTCACAGGCAGCCGCTGAAAATGTTCACCTAACTTTCCATGGCTTAAAATATCCTGTGGCTTCAATCCCTTCAACCCTTTCATATCGGATCCCTTTTTTTTTTTTTTTTTTTAAGGAAGGGAAATTCTAAACATTGAATGCACATAAGGAAACTAAATTGCAAAAAGAAAAAGTTAGCTTCCCAGTTCAGGGCAGTTCTGGAAGAGCTCATCTTCCTCCTGGGTTTGCATGCAGTGTAGCCTCCCCTGAAGCTTACAGTACCATTTGGCCTCATTGACTTTTCCCCTTTCTCATCCTTTCCAGGAAACTGTCCAAGGTACTGAACTTCTATGTGGCTAATGCAGAAGACTCTAGCAAAACAGACTTGCTTTTTGCCGCTCTGAAAGCCTTAAAATACTTGTTTCGCTTCATCATTCAATCTAGAGTACTCTACCTGAGGTAATGGTGCCGCTCATGAGATGTGGGTGCTGTCAGTCCTGTTCCCCTTCAGCCACGTGCTCGTCCACAGCGCGCTGGCAGCTGGGTCTAGGGATTGCCAGATTTCGAAGGACGACAAGTGTGTTAGGAAGATTGACATGAAGTCCCTTTCCATCAGCAGAATGCTGGGGCAGGAATGACGCCAGGAAGTCTTCATTAAGGATGCAGGTAGCTCAGATGTGCAGCTTTCAGGAAACGTTTGGGGATGCAGCTGCCAGTGATGGGTTTGCATTGGTACCCCAAGTGGCTCTTTGTCCATGCTGAGTGTACAAACGTAGGCTCGTGAGCTGCTGTTCATAGTAGAGGGAGAACAGTGACAAGCGTTTGGGGACGACTTCGTGACTTAGCTACCCAAGGAATCAGATAAACCTCTGTTTGGATTTCTAGTGTAACTGCTCTATTAAAACTTGAAGAAATCCAGGAACAATTCAAATAGACAATAAAGTGAAAAAACATTACTCATGTTTCCAAAAGAATGCAACACACACATGCTTCTTTTCCCTATACATTTAATAAAGAGTACACCATCTGTGTTCTTCAGCGAGAATGGACAGCAGCGAGTGCTGACTTTGAATGCTCCTGGGACTACAAATTCTTCAGGGCCAGGAAGTCAGCTGGGGTGTGGGTGGGGAGTTCCTCAGGTACCCGACTTTCTGTTAGCGAGCTGAGGCAAGGAGGATAGGTAGGTCTCATAAAGTAGCCTTGCTAGCATAGTGGATAGGCATTGGGTTTCAATCTGCCAAGTTGGCAGTTCAAAACCACCAGTCACTCCCCAGGAGAAAGATGGGGCATTCTACTCCAGTACATAATTACATCTGGAAAACTCACAGAGGCAGTTACACCGTGACCTGCTGGGTCACCGAGGGTTGGAATTGAGTCGATGGCGGTAGGTTTGGTTTCTTTGTGGGGCTTCATTTGCTGCGGCAAGTATGAGGGCTTCCAGCGGTGCTGCTTCCATGCCGGAAATACAGACCTTTAGGAGAGGGAGCATTGCCAAAGACTGTCGCTTCTAGGCAGCCTCCAGGAAACCCCAGCCTACTGCCGATTGAAACGGACCAGTTATTATTTTGTGCTGGGGCTTTATGTACAGATTCTGGCTCTGCTCTTGTCCAGCAGGTCATATCTTCTCAGTCTACTTGACTGGTCCCCATCCTCCATGAAACCATCTTTTAAAATAAACCCTTGTGGGTTTTCTGGTAACCTGCCAGTGACTGTGGGTCACAGCAAATTTGAGCTGTGAAGCTGAAAACTAAAACCACGACCCTCTCTCAAAGTTTCTCCCAGAGTCAAAGCCTCGGCAGCCCCCACAGAAATCCTTCCAAAGCCTCAGGACCTGGAGTTGACCAAATTACCACATGGTTAGTGATTGCTTCCCTGGAAAACCATGCCCCTGCATCCAGAATTGGCTTATTCATTAAAGCAAGCAGTAGATACGAGGACTCCTGCAACCTGGAAACCTCTCATTTGCTGCGTCTTGCATCCACCTTGACCCGTGGAATTGAAGCAGTGGGTGGTAAATTCACCGTGACTGCAACAAGAAAACACATGGCCCACACTGGCATGCATGCGGGATGATGCTGACATGATCATGGAATTCCTGCGCAGTGTCACAACAGCACCGGGATTTCGGCATTGGGAAGTAGCTGCCCTTCAGTCTCAGCTAAAGATCGACAAAGCTGTGGCTTTCCAGGATCCGCAGGCGTGCATCATTGAAAATGTGCGTGCTGCAACGTAGCGGAACACCTTGGCTCATTCTTTGTGTTGTCCTGATGATAGGATGGGAAAGGGGACATCAGAAGAGTTGCATTCCTACGTACAGAACAATTTTACGAGCGCAAGAATGGCTTTGATTGGACTTGGGGTGAGTCATCCTGTTCTAAAGCAGGTGGCTGAACAGTTTCTCAGCATGCGGGGCGGACTCGGTTTATCTGGTGCAAAGTCCATCTCCCGTGGAGGTGAAATTCGAGATCAGAATGGAACAGTCTGGTACCTGCTGTTCCTGTAGCAGAAAGTGCTGCCGCAGGAAGTGCAGAAGCCAATGTATTCAGTGTTCTCCAGCATGTGCTCGGTGCAGGGCCCCATGTCAGGAGGGGCAGCAATGCCACCCACACTTTATACCAGGCTGTTGCCAAAGGCATTCACCAGCCATTTGATGTTTCTGCTTTTAATGCCAGTTACTCCGATTCCGGACTCTTTGGGATGTACACTGTCTCACAGGCTGCAGCTGCCGGAGATGTGATCAAGGCTGCCTCTGACCAAGCGAACACCATCGCTCAGGAAACCCTTCTGATACAGTTCTCCAAGCTGCCAAGAACAAGCGAAAGCAGCATACTGAACGCCAGTGGAGTCTTCGAGGGTTTCCTGGATGAAGTGGGATTCCAGGCTTGAGTCCCTGGTTCCTATGTGCCGCCAACCCCAGTCCTTCAGCAGAGTGATGCTGTCCCTGATGTCAAGGATGTAGTGCTGTCCCTGCTGTCAAGGATGCTGCAGTGAAGTGCGTTTCTGGCAAAAAGTCCATAGCAACCAGTGGAAATTTGGGGCATACACCTTTTGTTGATGAATTATAATACTAAGGTGATCACACGTCCCGCTTTTAGCGGGACAGTCCTGATTTTTAACAATTTTTCCCGCATCCCGCGGCGTTTTAAAAAAGTCCTGATTTTTTTTTGAAAGAATGCACGAAAGCTAGGGTATACGTTTTTTTGGCTGCCATGTGCTATTTCGCCAGGGTAGGAGTTTTATCAATGGTGTCCCGCTTTACCAATGTTAAAATCTGGTCGCCTATATAATACTGAAATACTAAACATTTTCTCGAGTCAGAGAAGCAAACACATCAAAGTTTCAAATGGCTAATGTAACATTTATCCTTTTTTTATTTTCTTCTTTCAACAACTTTGAAGCATGAATGTGGGTAATCATTCCCAACTAACCTAAAGTCAATAAAATATTCTGTTTAAAAAAAAAACCACAACCCTTGTGACTCTTGTCCTGAGATAATCTTTAAACCTTAAACCAAAAGTATCCTCTGAAGTTTTCTTAAAAACCAATAGTTTAGTATAGAAGCCAAGCAGCAGTTTAGTAAAGGATGTCTGCCTTGAGCCCCGGAGGGGATTGAGGGCCTATATAGGATCAAAGGATTAGCCCAGAGCCCCAAGGCCATTGAGTTCACTTAAACAACAGTCACAAAGCAGGAGGGTACTAGTGGTGGCACAACTCAGCATGGAAGGAGTCGATCACTGAATGGTTCACGTAGACACTGTTGAATTTAGCGAATGCTCTGCTATATGTATTCTCAGCAACAGAAATAAAAATTGGTTTTTCCTAACAAGTGTTCCATGCACACCTGTGTTCCATGGGGTTTTCAATGGCTAGGTTTTTTGCTTCCTCCCCCCCCACCCCCCACCCTAGTTTCTCTGAAGTCAATTGGGTCTTTCTTTCGAGGTACCTCTGGGTTGGCTTAAACCTAAGGTGACCAGACGCCCCACTTTCGGTGGGACAGTCCCGCTTTTTAACAATTTTTCCTGCGTCCCGCAGCATTTTTAAAAAGTTCCGTTTTTTTGGAAAGAATGCACGACAAGCTAGGGTATATGGTTTTCAGCTGCCATGTGGCTATTTCGCCAGGATAAGAGTTTTATCAATGGTGCCCCGCTATACCAATGTTAAAATCTGGTCACCTTACTTAAACCAGAAACCTCTAGTTGACCAGAAACCAAAAGGTCCAACCCTATACTGTCCAGTTGATTTTGACTCATAGCAACCTTATTAGACGGCACGACTGCCCAACGGGGTTTCTGAGACTGTAAAACTTTGCAGGAGTAGGAGACCTTCTTGGAACAGCTGGTAATGTTGAACTGCCACTGGCCCTGTGGTTAACAAGCCCAGGCAGAACCCACTAGGAGCGCCGCAACTAGAGTTTCCACCGCCTTAGACGGCATAGCTCAGAGCATCCGACTCCCTCTCTTCCCATGACTTGGAAGGACGAGCACGAGACACTGGGCCCCTGCCATTGTTTAGTCAGAAAATCTATGTGAAAGTATCTCGTGAACATGAGCCATTGGGCTGATTGTCCCCTTTCCCTGTGTTCAGATTTTATGGCCAGAGTGAAGATGGAGATGAATTCAATAACTCAATCCGCAAGTTATTTCTCTCTTTCAATATGCTAATGGACAGGCCCCTGGAGGAAGCTGTCAAGATCAAGGTCAGCATGGCCAGTCAAGATTAACTCTTGAGTGGGGTGGGGTGGGGAATGACCTCTTTCTGAGACCACGCTGAACAGCCTTTGGAGGGATAGCTTGTTTACTCTTTAACAGCACTTAGAGGAAGTAAAGAAAGAAATGTTCTTATTTTAACTTTTACGTTCAGTGAATATGTCAAAACGTCAGCTCATTAAAAGCAGGCTGTAGTTTTAACACCCCCTGAGTGTCCGTCGTGTCCGCTCGCTGTGAGCTCGACGTGCAGATCCGATTGCTGTTGCAGCAACGAGTGTTTCTGTTAATCTTCTGAGCCCCTCCCGGCCCTTTCCAGAGATGTTACCGTCGTCTGCATCATCAGTCACCTTATTTTTTAATTTAACATTGACAGTCCCTAAAACTGAGACTGGACGCTATTGCTAATTCTCTCCGTATGCCAACATTGTGAGGGAGCCCTCGGGCACTGAGACTGAGCAACCGTGCTCCAAAGGAGGGATGCCTGTTGGGAGCAGAGACAGAAAGCTCTGCCCAGCCTGCCTTTTAGGGACAGATGTCTGAAGAGATTGTGTATTGCCACATCAGCTTTCATTTTTGTTGTAAGGGCTTCTGGGTCCAATTCTCTCTTTAAGATGCATATGCAGCCTTGGCTCCTTGAGATCAAGTGCAGTACGTTCTGCCATGGTCCTGCTGGGCAACAGACTCTGTGTCTCTTACAGGGAGCAGCTTTGAAGTACCTTCCCAGAATCATTAATGACGTCAAACTCGTGTTTGACCCTGCTGAACTCAGGTAAGTGGCAGGAATAGCTGACGTGAACTTAGCCCAGAAGCAGCGCCCCGGCTTAGCCGGGCTCCTTTGAGTGCCCATGAACAGAGCACCTTTTTGTGCTTGGCTCTGCAGAGGACGTCAGAGAAGACTCCAGCCCTGCCCTTGAAAGAAGGCTGCGACTTTCCCTGGGGAAACAAGACAGGCAGACATAAAATCAGCGACACAAAGAAAATACATACTAACACACTTCAAGCCTTACACCTAAGTGCCCCAGGAATGCAAACCCAGACAGTGACCATCTGGACTGGAGTTGGCAAGAAAAGGCATTTCAGAGAAGTCAGTTGCTAAGATATACCACACCACACCACACCACCCTACCAGTTACTGTCTAGTCAGTTACAACTCATAATGTCACCTGCCCTGACCCCGTCTCTCCCGTGTGTGCAGAATATGGCTGTACTTTAGAGGGCTTGAAAGCTATGACCGTTTGGAAACAGATCACTAGGCCTGTCTCTGGAGACACTTCCCAGTGGGTTTGAACCACCAATCTGTGAGTTAGTCGCCAAGCACCTAACCATCCGGGCCACTGCAAGCACCCGTAGTGTTCAGGTGGCTCTTGGAGATGGTGCAGGACCGGATGGGCCATGGTAGTTTCGGAATCCACAGGAAGGCTGAGCCCTTTGCATGAGCCAGGAAGACAGTCTCCCTGTCACTTCTAGACACAGACTTTCCGGCCACAGAGAGGTTTCTAGAAGGATTTCTCCATGCCCAAAGCTCAAGTTCAAGGGGAAAGGGGTCCTTGTGGAGGCCCGGTGCCTGGCAGATTGAAAAACCGTGATCCTGGTGTTTTCTTTCATAGTGTGCTCTTCTGCAAGTTCATTCAGAGCATCCCCGACAACCAGTTAGTGCGGCAGAAACTTAACTGCATGACCAAGGTCGTGGAGAGTCAACTCTTCCAGCAGTCAGGTAGGGGTCCTCCCAGTCTACTGCCGTCTGCAGTCAGTCCTCCGCGTGCTTCCTGACAGCCACCACTGACCCTTCTGGATGCTGTTTTATTTTTATAATGGCAATAATGCTAGTTTTCTGACTTTCCTCCTGAGAAACTGGTTTGAAGGAGAAGCTGAAGTCAGTTCAGTATTTTCACGAGCTCCTACGGAAGCAAAATTATGTGTTCTGTAATACTTAATTAGAACCATCAGCAGGTGTTGTTATTAACTGCAGATCTTATTTTTGCCTCAATATTACAACCCCAGAAAGTTACAGACTTTTTTTTAAAAAGCTAGTTTTTAAAACAATTCCATCTTCTTCAACCTGTATTTCTTCAGTAACCCCAAACAAACAAGCAAATAAAACCAAGGGAGCCGGGGCCAGTGATGTGCTGGCACCCACTCGTACTGACTCCCAAGAGCTGATTATCTCTGTGCTCAGCTGCACGTTCGAGGCTGTCGAGCTGACCATGGTGGAAACATTTACCCCGCGGACACTGGCCACACTGTAAGTCTGAGCCTTTTTCAGGAGCGAGCCAGTCTACAGCATCCTGCTGGGAGAGAAGTGGCAAGTGGAGTAGAGAAAACCCTGGAATGGATGAAATGCTTGTCGTGTTATAATTATAATCCAGCAGGTAGCTACCAAGTCGAAATTGCTGCTTGCCTGTCCCAGAGCTGATGAAGAAGATGTGGTTTCCCCATAAAACCATACTTGCTAGAAGAGAATAGCTGTGGGAACTATTGTTGGATGTGGGAACTTCTTTTGGTGTGAAGTCTTTCACATCTTGCTTTGGTACCAGATCGGAGACCTCAGAAGAGAAACTCATGTTGTGCATATTGCCGGGCATTACGAAAGACCGGCAGGACCCCTTAGAAACTGGGGGTGGGGAGTTTGGGTGGAAACCACTCCTTGCCTTGGCACTGACTACTTATGTCACTTCAGACTAGTGCGTGCCCTTCTCGGAGTCCCCAGCTTTGTTTTGATGGACAGAAGCCTCGAGCTAGATTGAATCTGCAGTCTCTTGGTCCTGGTGGTTTCTGATTCTTATGAATTTGTGGTTAGAAATTCCACTTGTTCTGTGGACACCACGGAGGAAGGGTTGATGCCTTCCGAGAGCTGGTGACTGCTCTGAAGTAGTAAACACAATATTACTATGCCTGTTAGCAATGCTCTGATGATCGCTGCCTTTCAGAATGCAGACAAGATAAATGAAGTAATAAAGGTAGAGTAGTGGAGCCCAGTAGAAAATATACTCTAGATAATTCTAATTAGAAAAGTATTATCGCTGCTAGTAATCACTTCGGTTAGTGTCCAGCATATCTAGGACCCCTTTGTAATAATATTTTCGATTAGTGAAGATTCCCCGAAGGAAGATATAGAAGAAAAACAATACCTTCCTGTGTGTAGTCCACATGCCTGCCAAGACACGAACAGAGTTTCTGTAAACCGTGCTGAAATATATTAGTACAGCTCAGTATTGATCGAAATTTCATAGTGCATTTTCTTTATTAGATAAAAACACTTTTGGAACAAGTGTGTCACGTGCCTGGGTTTGTTCGTTTCATAGGCCGTAGCTTTCAAGTATCAGGTTGGCATTTAACAAACGAAGCACAACTCTAAAGAGAGTGTTAAATACTTTCAACATAATACAGGGGCGATTTTCTCTCTCTTTAAACCAAGTTCCATTCCTAAAATCCTGTGCTGCTCTGTGGCCTGAAGGGGCAGCACCCTGCAGGGTTGGATTCGGGGCTTGGGCTCCAAGCCCAGGCCCACCACAGGCGAGGCTGCACCTTGTCCGGGTCATGAGCAGTCTGCATCTTCTTTCTCAGAGTGCAGGGATGTGCTGCTGCCCCTGCTCATAGACCAGCTCAGTGGCCAACTGGATGACAACTGCAGCAAGCCCGACCATGAGGCAAGCTCACAGCTTCTGAGCAACATCCTGGAGGTCCTGGACAGGAAGGATGTGGTAAGTCTGATCGTCACTGATGCAGAGCAGCCGGGCTGGCTGGTCCCTTTGCAGAGCACGAGAGGGACTCCTTGGCCTTCATCAGCCTCAGGGCTTGGCACCTAGGTATTGGTGCAGGCTGTGCCCGATTTTGAGTTGATTCAAGAAGCTTCTTTTGGCTAGGCCTCCTCTGCAAGTCTAGGCCCAGGAGATGTCTGCTTACTGCTTGGGCCTACGGTGGGCTGGTTTTATGGCTAACCCGGTTTTTCCAGCACAGAGCGCCCATGAGTACTCTTAAAGATCTGAACCCTATTTGGACTTTTCCTCCTGTTTTGCAGAAACAAAGTCCTCTTTCCTCGTCCACCTCTGGTGTCCGACAGTGTGTTGCAGATAGGCCAGTAGCTTCTAAGAGTCCTCATTCTCATATTTTCTCTGACACTCATCTTTCCATCTAGAAAAAAAATCCCATAAACTTCACTCCCATCCAGGCAATTCCACCTCACAGCTACCCTGTAGGCCAGAGTTGCTCCTGTGGACTTCCAAAGCTGTACACTTCCAGGGGAGCAGAAAGCCTCATCTTTCTCCTGTGGAGCCCCTAGTAGCTTCGAACTGCTGACCTTGTACAGCCCAGCTCAGCCCCTACTAAGCCCCCAAGGCTCCTGTCAGAAATGATATCATTTCTTCGCTTGCCTCTACTCTCTGACCTAGACTCCCGAGAAAACATGGGGCTGAACCTACGCGGATCTATCATCTCTAGAGAGAGCCGTGGTGGCGTAGCGTGTTACACATTGAGCTGCTAACTGAAAGGTCAGAGGTCAAAACCTGCCGGTTGCTCTGTGAGAAAAAGATTGTTGCTATAAATATTGAATCTCAGAAACCAGAACGGGCACTTCTGCTCTGAGAGTCAGGAGTGGTAGAAGGCTCGGAGGGGAAGGGAGGAGGGGGTCGGGGATGAGCATCTTTCCCCAGACCACAGTCAGCCACCCCCACAATGGTTACATGTGGAGCATGGCATCTCACTTGCTTTTTGAGTTTTTCTTACTGGAGACGACCACAGGTGTGTCTTTAGATCCCATGTTGTATTTATGCCAGGTATATTGATGGACTCCCTGGGGGTGGTAAAAAGTCAGCACCCTTGGCTGCCAATCTGAAGGTTGGCAGTTTGAGTCCTTCCAGAGGAGACTTCAAAAGAAAGGCCTGGCAAAGAACCCCTGAAAACAGAGCCATGGGAAACTCCCTGGGAGCACAGTTCTCCCTGACACCTGGCACTCCATGACAACTGGGTTTTGAGTAAGCATAGATCATTTTTTCCCCCCATTTCAGCATTTTCCATGTAAAAGGCCGCGTCCTTCATTGCGTTCACCATGTTGTGCGCCCACCATCCCCACCTATTTTCAAGGTCTCCATGGGTGTTGATGAAGGATACGAAGAACGCCTTGTATCTTTTCCCATAGGAACCTTGCTCGCTTTTCCTGGTCTTCTACCATTGGCCAGAGCCTCTCCCCCTCATCCGTGTGTCTGCGGATCTGTACCGCTCCCACAGAAGCAAATGCATATACGCATTTGGAGAACACAGATTAAAAATTAAAAAAAAAAATTTTTTTACCCAAGCGTATTGTAAATGGGGGTTTATTTCATGAGGATTTTCTGGCAAATACATAATATGAGAGTTTTGTGTTTTGTTTTGTTTTTTAAGGGCAAAGCCTCTTAAGATACTGACAATAGTACAATGACACTCCAGCGCTGTAAACTGTACGCTGTAAACTGGCTCGGTAATCTGGCTTGTGTGGGGCTCCAGACGTCTGCGAGCCCCGAGTGTGACCCAGACGTAACTCGAACGCAGGAGCTGGGTGATTCGGGTTCTGGTCCCCAGACTACCTCTGTGTAGCTCTGAGTCTGGAGGCAAGTCGTTTCCTCGCTTGGTGCTTCACCGTCCCACTTGGTAACACGCCAGCATTGCACTCGGTGACCGTGGGGTCTCTCCCGCTTCTGTCGGGCTGTTAATTAAGCAGTCCTGTTTTTTCATAAGCAATATCTCCTTGGCACACAGAAGGACTATTCAAAAATTCTCAGAATGGCTTATTTGTCTTTAGATGCTAAGCAAGGAAATTTAATTGGCTTATTTTTTTGTTGTTGTTCGGCCAGTAATGTTTGCTGTAATGAGCAGAGGCATTCAAAATTGTTGATCTTGGAACCATGTTGAAGTACTAAGCTCAATATTTTTTCTTTCTTTCTTTTTTGATGGTCGTGTTTTGTTTTTGTTTTACCCCCACCGTAGTGCACATCTTCCTTCTTTCTCCCTTGACTCCTCCTTAATCATGATTCTAATTCCTGGGCGTTTACGCTTCCTGCCCTGGTGGCACAGTGGTGAAGTGCTCAGCTGATAACCAGAAAGGCTGGTGTTTCAGCCCTGCCGCTGCGCTGGGGGTGTAAGCTAGGGGTGTCTGCTTCTGCCTGGGGCAGTTCTACTCTGTACCCATGAAGGGGTATGAGTTAGAGTCATCTCAGCAGCAACAGGCTTGGGTTGGGTTATTTTGGGTTCTTGCTCAGAATTCCCTCTTCTGTTTCCACACACCTCTCTCCTCTCTCTCTCAATTACCCATGTTCTTGTGTGTGTTCCTAATTGCCCTGTGTAACAGGAATCTGCCCCGGTCAGGCCAAAGCGCCTCATGCTAAATCAGTGGTTCTCAACCTTCTTTATGCCACTATCCTTTCGTATAGTTCTCCATGTTGTGGTAACCCCCCAACCATAACATTATTTTTGTTGCTACTTCATCCCTGCCATTTTGCTACTGTTCTGAATCTGATAAGCAGGATGTATTTTCATTGTGACAAATTGAACATAATTAAAGCATAGTGATTAATTACAAAAACAATATGTAATTATATATTGTGAAATATTTAGGTGTTTTCCGATGGCCTTAGGCAACCCCTGTGAAAGGGTCGTTCGACCCCCAAAGGGGTCGAGACACACAGGTTGAGAACTGCTGTGCTAAAGGTCCCCCCAGAGCTGAGCTGATACCTATGGTGAGCTCTCACTGACCCAGGGGACTTGGGCACGTTGGGAGACATCCTTCCCCACACACCACATCCATCTTCCTGGTGTTGTAACTCAGTCCAAAGGGCTTGGTCATGTTGCATATTGCCTCATGAAACTAGTTTCCTTTGTGGGCAAGGGATTGGTTGCTAAGAAAGGGTCAGAGCTAGCTCCCAAGGGAAAATAGTGCTGCCCAAGGTTTCTTTACAGAGTGAAGCCGAGTGGAAGAAATGGTGTATGTTCTCTGTTTCCCCCCACAGGGCCCCACCGAGATGCACATACAGCTGACCATGGAGCGCCTGCTTCGGAGGATCAACCGCACTGTGATCGGGATGAGCCGACAGTCCCCTCACATTGTGAGTGTCCCCTCAGGGTAGCAGAGCACCACGGCTGCTTCTCGCTGTCCCACCCATTGAGGGACCAGAGCCCTGAGATGGAATCCCCGGAGGCTTCCTGCATCAAGTGCCCGGTGTGACATATCTAGTTCGGGAAGGAAATAATAGGATCTAGAAGTTTCCTGAGACAGAGCCAAGAGCTCCCTGATGGGGTGGGGGTGGGGGGCACACGGTTGTAGCCTGGAGCAGTTCTTGATCCTGGTACTGGTCTTCTACTACAGGGAAACCTGCCAGCTGGCCGGTAGGAGGAGGGATGGGAGGAGAGTATACCAGGTCCCCATGAATAAGAGGTGTGCAGATCCATCCTGAGATGTCCGTTCTTACTGAGGTTCGGTAAACAGCCGGCTACAGTATTCAAGCAGAGAGGCACTCGGCAGGCCTCCTGGGAAGGCTGATCATGCGATCTGCATTCGACCTAACATGTTTGACAGATGTTCCGATATTAAGGGAGATCCAGCAAGAGACCTGACGGTGTCCTGGGTGCGTGCTGGCCTGCTGACTACAAGGTCCGCAGTTCTAAATCTCCAGCTGCTCTAAGGAAGAAGGAGGGGGCTTTTACTCCTGCAAAGCGTTACAGTTGGGCAAACCCACAGGGTTCTACCCTGCCCTATTAGGTTGCTGCGAGCCGACATCTACTTGATGGCAGTGAGTTGGTTTTGGAAGTGTGTGATGCGTGAAAACTACTGAGGAAAAAAAACAAAAAAAGCCTGAACCATGGTTACCATGGTTGAAGGGGACAGAATTGTTGCTTAGGGGGCCTTGAGTGTATTACAATGGTGGTGGAATAATCCGGAAAAGGATATCAATAATGTTTGTGCAACATGAAGAGTATAATCAATGGCCCTTAATTATACAACTAGAAGTTGTGGAACCGGAGAATGTTTTGTTGTGTATATTTTTAACCACAATTAGAAAAAATATATAATTACATGAATAACAATGAGTACAAAGAAGAAAATGCCCTAGAATTGAATATGGTGACAGTTGTGCAACTCTTCTTGATACGATTGAATTAGTGAATGGTTGGGGGGAAAAATCTGCTAACAAACTGGATGCAGCCTAGCAATCAAAACGATACAGAGGTGTTTGTTGAGCCATTGGGATATCCTGAAACTGGTATATTCCCAGAGTATTTTAGAAACGTTGCATTATAAAAAGAAAAGACACTGAATAGACACCATCACTTCTGTGGCCATGCCATGTTTACCAGGTATTCCAAGGTTGTGTGTATACACAGAGGCAGTGGCTGCGGAAGCCTCTGTTGGCTAGCTAGTAACTTCTGTAGTCTATGTGAGGCTAGTGTCAGAGGTCTCAAGAAAAGTAAGAGAGAGAGAAATATAAGCAGTGAGCAAAAAAAATGAGGGAGAGACAGATGCACACACATTAACAAAGAGAGATATGCAGAAAGAAAATACACATGGTGTGATCCAGTGTACTCCTGGTGTTCAAGAATAGTTACGTATTAGAGAGTCCACTGATAAACTATATCAACTCAATGAAAGCGGGAAAGCTATGATTCTCTTTAGAGATGCCAAAGTGATAAATAGTAGGTTTAACATTTGCTCCAAATTAAGACTGTAAAGAGACCTTTTTAACCTGAAGTCATCAGACAACATAAGACTTGCAGTTAATAAAGAGAAGAACCAGGGCAAGATGTTTCATCTCAATACTATTGCTTAGCATTTTTCTATAGTTTCTAGCCCATGTAAATAAGACAAGAAACATGCTAAGAATAAATATTGAAAAAGAGAGAAAATCATTATTATTATTAGATGAAGCAACTAGCAAATAGAGGAAGCCCAAGGGAGCTAACTGAAATGTTAACAAAACAAATTAGTTTATCAAAGTAACTTGTTTCAAAATAAATTCCAATGGATTTTCTTTTTTAAAAAATTTTTGACTTTTAGTCATTTATTCTTTTTTTAAAAATCATTTTACTGGGGCCTCCTACAACTCTTATCACAATCCATTCATCCAGCCATTGTGTCAAGCACATTTGCACATTTGTTGCCATCATCCTTTTCGAAACATTTTCTTTCTACATGAGCCTTTGGTATCAGCTTCTCGTTTTTTCTCCTCCCTCTCCCATCCTCCCTCCCTCCCTCATGAACCCTTGATAATTTATACATTATTATTATTTTTCATGCCTTACACTGACCACTGTCTCCCTTCACTTACTCTCTGTTGTCCATCCCCCTAGAAGGGAGTTATATGTAGGTTATTGTGATCGGTTCCCCTTAACTCCCCACACCTTCCTCTTCCCCTCCTCGTATGGCTACTCTCAGTATTGGTCCCGAGGGCTTTATCTGTCCTGGATTCCCTGTGTTTCCAGCTCTCATCTGTACCTGTTACATGCTCTTGGTCTAGCCGGATGTGTAAGGTAGAATTGGGGTCATGATAGTGGGGGTAGGAAGCATTGAAGAACTAGAGGAAAGTTGAAAATAACAGCTGTAACTATTCAGAGATTATAACAACAGAACTGGGAATTGAAAAGATTTTTTTTACATAAAAACATTTCATTCTCCGGAGGAAATCAAAAATTCTTAATAAATGTTACTTGGAAACTTAATTGACAATGTGGAAAAACATGCTTGCCTTCTATTTCATGCTGTGCCCACAAAATAAACTTCAGATGTAATGAAGCCATCGTGTAAAATAACCATGAAGATGCTTGAAGAAAATATAATAAATGCACACTTATTTTTAGGATGATGAAAAGGAATTCACGAATGTTTTTAAAGTGAAAAGAAAACAAACGATGGAAAGAATGTACTTTACTACGTTAAAATGTTTAAACTTCTACATGTTATATATAGATTTATATATGTATGCCTGTGTGTGTACATGTGTGCACACACAGGCAAATTAAATGGCAAGCACCAAACTGTAAACATTATTTGCAATTTATGTGTCAAGTGGCTAATAGCCTGCATATAAAAACAGCTCTTTCAAATCACCAAGGAAAAGATAAGGTGTTCACTGGAAACTGAGGAAAGAATATGGCCAGACATCAATATGAGAACTTGAAGAAATGACCAGTAAGCAGGAACAGAATGTTTAGTTCCAAACAAATAGAGGGCAAATCAGTCAAGAGTGAGATTAAACGAAACTACACTACCCAGAATCCACAAAGGTCTACGGACACAAATGGGCTTAGACACTGGGGTAGCTGTGAACTATGGTCACCTGACAATACAGGTGGAACTTCAGTACAATGAATTTGCTTTGCTTTGTACCCAGAAATTATACTTTTTTTAAATGAGACTAATTCACAAAGGCATTCCAGGGCAGTGTTATGGACAGTCATTTACGTTGAGGACGCATCCCCTCTGTGCCAAGAGCAGCCGACTGGTCACTCCTTTGTGCCACAGTCATTGAAATGTGTCTTTTTCTCGGAACTGTGAATATACAAGTACAGTGAACCCTCGCCACTTCGCGCTTCGACTTCCGCGGCTTCACTCTATCGCGGTTTTTGCATAACAGCGCATGCTCTGTCATTA